TCATGTTATGATAGAGGAGTCGGATCATCAGGCGTTAGTTATAAAAGTGCAGGCGGCACTGGCCGTAGCGCACTCGGGAGGCCAGCGGCCTTTTATATATGAAGCTGCTTGGGCGCGACATGAGGGGTATGAGGCCATGGTGGTAAGTGCATGGGCTGATGCCCATGCAGCCAATCAGGAGGCTGGTGCACTCGGCGCGGCATGCAGCCGCCTCCATCTCACGTCTAGGGCCATGCACGTGTGGAGCCGCCAAGTCTTTGGCTCAATCAAAAAAACAAATCGCTCACCTCAAGGTTCAGTTAGTGGATGCTCAAGAGCGGGCCGCCCGGACGGGATACAGACAGGAAACAAAAGACATAGAGGATCAACTACATGAATTATATGAAAGAGAAGAAGTGTATTACAAGCAAAGATATCGGATTGATTGGTTGACAAAGGGGGACCAAAACACGAAGTACTTCCAGAACCGTGCTTCACACCATAAAAGGAAAAACACTATCAAGGCCTTGAGGAGAGATGATGGATCAAAGTGCACGGACGATGAAGGTATGAGGAGGATGGCTGCTAAATTCTATGCCAAGATGTTCGCTTCGGAGGGTTCTCGTGATGGTGACAGAATTTTGCAACATATTAGCGGGTGCGTCACAGATGAGATGAACGCAAAATTGGGGGCACCGTTCACGGATGATGAAATTGAGACGGCGCTCTTCCAGATGGGCCCCACGAAGGCGCCGGGGCCAGACGGGCTGCCGGCCATGTTCTTTCAGAAGCACTGGGCATTAGTAAAAAATGACGTGTGCAACGCTGTTCGCGAGTTCCTTGCTGGTGGTGCAGCCCCAAATGGATTTAATGATACAACTCTAGTGCTGATCCCGAAAGTAAGCTCACCGGAGCTGCTTTCTCAGTTTGGCCCGATTAGTCTCTGCAATGTTTTATACAAGATCGCCACCAAAGCACTGGCTAACCGGCTGAAGGGGGTTCTACCTCTCATGATCTCTGAGGAACAAAGTGATTTCGTCCCGGGAAGGTTACTAACGGACAATGTTTTGGTGGCATATGAGTGTGTGCATGCGATTAGAAAGTGAAAACGAAGGAAACCTTTGTGCGCAGTAAAGCTGGATATGATGAAGGCGTATGACAGAGTGGAGTAGGATTTCCTTGAACAAATGTTACTCAAGTTTGGCTTCTCCAGTCACTGGACGGAGATGATTATGAGGTGTGTAAAATCAGCTACCTTTGCGGTCAAGTTGAATGGCGGGCTATCTCACGGGTTTTGCCCGTCTCGTGGACTTCGACAGGGAGACCCCCTATCCCCCTATCTCTTCCTTTTTCGTGTTGAAGGTTTCTCAGCCTTGCTAAAGAATGCACAGAGTAAGATGGAAATAAAAGGGGTGTCTTTTGGATGCAATGGGCCGACTGTTACTCACCTCCTCTTCGCAGATGATAGTGTGGTGTTCTTGGAGGGATCCCGTGATAACTTTGAGGCTCTTCGTATCATTTTGCAGGAGTATGAAGTGGCGTCTGGACAGAAAGTTAACTTACAAAAATCTGCTATTTTCTTTGGGAAAGGTTGCCCGGATGGTTTGAAACAGGAGGTGCAGCAGATTATTGGCATTTCTGAGGAGGCCCTAAGTGAGAGATATCTAGGGCTCCCCACAGTCATTGGGAAATTGAAGGAAGAAACGTTCAAATATGTAAAGGAGAGTGCTAGAGGAAAAGTAGGCGGATGGAAGGGACAAGGGCTATCCAAGAAGGCAAGAGAGGTGCTTGTCAAGTCAGGCCTCCAATCAACACCAACTTTTACCATGAGTTGCTTTCAACTCACGAAGAAAATGTGCGGGAATCTGTCATCTATCTCTTCGAACTTCTGGTGGGGTGAAGCTAATGGTCAAAAAAAGGTACATTAGATCGCTTGGGATAGAATGTGTGTTAGAAAGCATGAGGGCGGACTTGGTTTTCGTGATCCCAAAGCTTTCAAGAAAGCCTGGAGAATACTTCAGGTACCAAACTCGTTGTGTGCACGAGTCTTGAAAGCTAGATATTTTGGGGATGGTTCAATCCTAAATGCAACTTGCCCGGACGGCGGCTCCTTCACTTTCAGAAGCATTATCCATGGGAGGAACCTCCTGTTAGATGGGCTCATTTGGAGGATTGGGGATGGAACAAGAATTAAAATACATCATGACAATTGGATACCGAGGAAGGGATGCTTAAGGCCACTGGGCCATAACTATATACATGGGATAATGAGGGTTTGTGATCTCTCAATGATCAAGGCAATGCTTGGGATCAAAGCAAGGTGCAGGCCATGTTTGCCCCGGACGAGGTGGAGGAGATCCTGCAGATCCCGATTGGGGGGCCAGCCATGGATGACTACTTGGCCTGAAACTACACCCAAAACAGGGTGTTCACGGTGCGGTCAGCTTACCACCTGAGAATGGCACAGAAATGCCTAAAAGCGTGTAGGCCGGAAACCTCATCTCCGGTGGCGGAGCACAAATCTTGGCTGAGCCTATGGGATACCGTAGCGCCGGGCAAGGTTAAAATACACATGTGGCGTCTTATTCGGAATGGGCTGGCCGTGGGCACCGAGCTACAGAGGAGGAAGATCAAGGAGGGAGTTTTTTGCGTTGCATGTGGGAGAGAAGAAACCAACTATCATAGATTTTGGGGTTGCTTTCACTCAGCAAAATTCTGGAAGATCATGCAGTCGGAGTTGGGGGTACCGGTGGCGATCCCACCGGAGTCTGCACGCCCCCAGAGTGCATTGTCTAGGTGGCTCATGGAGTGGTTTGCGGCAGCATCCGATGATGAGAAAGTTGTCCTGGTCCAAGGTGTGTGTGCACTATGGCTATCCCGGAACAATGCAAGAGAAGGACAACGGATCGAAGATGCTGCAGCAATTGCGAGAAGAGTTTTCCAGTTAATTCAGGAGTGGCAGTCCATCCATGGACGAAAGTGCAAGCAAGACAACCCTGCTCCAAAGGAAAAATGGCAACCACCTGAGAAAGGGTGCGTGAAGGCAAACGTTGACGGAGCAACGTCCAAGGGCGGGGAGCTGGGAGGCGTAGGTGTGGTCATCAGGAGCCAGGAGGGTGCGTTCACGGGCGGGACGTGCCAGGTCTACCCTCAGTGCAAGGAAGCGGCGATGGTGGAGTTACATGCTTGCAAAAGGGCAGCACAACTAGCTCAGGAGCTGAACGTGGGAAGCCTGCATGTGGAGATGGACTTCCGCGAGATTGTTTGCAAGCTAAACAACAAGGAGAAGGATCTATCCTTGTTGGGATCGGTCGTAGAAGAGGTTAAGCAACTCCTGTCATTGAGGGAGAGGTGGAAAGTCACTTAGTTAGACGTTCTACTAATAATGCGGCTCATTTGTTAGCTAGACATAGTGTGGCAAATAATTTATGTAAAGTTTGGTTAGCCGAACCCCCGGACTGCATTTTGCAGGCTGTTTCTGATAAGATCCCTGGGTGGAACATTTATAGCGAGCTTCAAAAAGAAAAGAACAAAATCAGTTTAAAAAGTGAACAGAACTGGAATGAGGAAGATCGTAACGTAAGTGCTAGTATCATTTTTTTACTAGGTTTTTTTAAGGGAATTTTTTACTGGGTGCTGGTTCTGCGAAGACCTGAGACGGCGAAAGCCCGGATGTGCCGTTAAGTCTCGGCCCAGATCCTTCGCGAACGGCCCGTCTATCCATTGACCAGTCCATACGTCCACGTCCACGCATCACGAGGTTTGAGGCGGCGACACCGGCACACGAGAGCTCAACTGCGCGCAGAGACGAAGAAGACGGCGCGACTGTTTTCCTACTTACCAACCAGTGGTCCTGGCGCCGTCACCGTTCGAGTTCTCCGGCGACGCGCCGTTCACTGCTGGGTAGCGGCGTCGGCGCCACCTCGCCGTGGCAATCCGCCTGGTAATTGCCGGTTTCCCCCCTCGAGTTAGTTTACCTGCATTCAGGCGTATAGAGATTAATTACCGCGAGTCCGGTAGGGTTTACCGAAAGCAGTAGATCGAGGTGCTTGATCAGCTCTTAATTTGTATGGTAAGCAAGATTGACATTCAAATACCCAGCATCTCCTACTAATTTGATGAAAAAATCAATACCATCCTGAAGATTTGTACCGACTCCTATCATTCAACAGCTGCACTAAAAGAACAGTCAGACATCCTAAATTTTGTCCAACAATACTTTTAAAAATATTTGGATCGGATAATTGGATATATATATATATAGGTATATATATATATATATATATATATATATATATATATATATATGTATGTATGTATGTATGTATACGTATTTTTTTCTTCAAAAGTATTTTCCCAGCATATGCATGCAATGTTTATTGGACTTTATAAATATATGTTAAAAAATAGTGGCCAAACTGCATGTGTTTTTGGAGTAAGTTTCTGTGTTATAAATATATGTTGCAACGTGGAAAATATCTTCCACGCGGAATAGTAAACTTTGCAAAAGGTACATTTAAACTTTTTGGAACTTTGTAACTAGACACGTTGCCACATGGCATCCTCACACTGGATTGAATTTTCCCAATCATGTCTCTTTACGATTGAACCGAGTAAACTTAACAGAAGTGTACTTTGATAGGTGTGATATTTTGTAAAGTGAGTGAATCAAAGTTGCCATACTTTGATTGATCCTTTGGCATAGCACAGAACAATTTGCTTGTATGTTTGGGTTTGGTTAGCATATTCTTTTCCGTTCCTTCACTTCCAGTTTCAATTCCCTCAGGCTTCAGGTTCACAAATTCCCACAGCCCTTAATCTGCATCGTTGGAAAAAGTAGGCATTAGAGCAAATCTTCGGCACTATTATTCCAACTCAGACACCTTAATCTACAGCCTAACGTTCCATAAACCTCCACAAACACAGAGCAGAACAACCGAAGAAAGATTAAATGTGCCACCAAGTGCACTATATATAGTGTGGTGCTACTAGTTTTAGAACCATACACCTGCCATGCAAACATGGCGTTCTTCTCTGATGATGATGCGTCCCAATATCAAATTAGGAGCAGCAAGAACATGACCTACAAGATGAGAGGGGACATGAAGAAGCTCCTCCCAGTCACCACCTTCCTCCTTGGCGCGGCGTTGACAGCTGCGTTGGTCTTCCTCAATGCTGCTCTGGATGTGAACTGGCGGCCCTCCGCCCTGGCCTTATGGGGCAATGGTACTCAGCCGACCCCCAACCCCAAGGTCAGTGATCCTCTACTTCTTATTCTTGTTGTTCTTGTCGAATACGTTTGCTTCCATTTTTCCACCCTCATTGTTTACCTTCGTTTTTCTAAAATACTGAGAGTTTGATCTTGCAAGAAAAGAAGTGCAAACTTGTGATCTAATTTTGACCGTAGGAAACATGTAGTGTAATCATGTTGTACTGTCCTTTTGGCACGGCACAAGTTGTTTATTTTCGGTGATGCGTCAATAAGGTAGAAATAAAATTTGATCATGCGCATTAATGCTAATTGAGTAACTACGTGGTATGAATGAAGACTGGAGAGTGTCCTTTTTTTGGAAACAAAAGTGTGAACAAAATTGAACAGAAGAGAAAACTACAGTGATGATTTCTGCCTTATTAACCAGAGCTGAAAATGCAGTTCCTTTTTCGCCTGCTAAGTTACATGATCAAATTTGGCTATGTCCATTGCTGTAGGAGTGTAGAAGCACATCTATTGACTCCCTTGATTTTCTCCTAGATTCCCAGCTATATCTGCACTCTGTGAATCCATGTCCAATGTAATGCCTCATATACCTATTTGGCCTTAATGGAGCTTAAAATGTTATTTCTAAAACAGTTTTGCTAAAAGTAAACAACTGCATGGTGATGCTAATTTTCCAAGACTGCCTTCAGATAGGGCTTGTAATATTCGGATCCCAAAAGCCCTAAAGCTGAACCTGACCTGCGAGGCAACGAATATGCGCCTAATGTCCAAGAAGGCTTGTGATAAAATGATTTCAATCACCAGATAAGAGATTTTACGTGAACTTCTAAGCTAAAATTCCAATGATGACTAGACCATCTGTTTCTGGATTATTCAAGTCAAAATCATTTACTATCATCTCATTTGCGGCATCTCAATTATTTCCCTATGCAGACGAAAGCATTGACAGAGCTGGCAGAGGTGCTGAAGAACGCATCCATGGAGGACGGCACGGTGATCATGACGTCCATCAACCAGGCGTACGCCGCGCCGGGGTCCCTCCTGGACCTCTTCCTGGAGAGCTTCCGGGTGGGCGAGGGCACGGCGCACCTGCTGGACCACGTCCTCATCGTGGCCGTCGACCCCGGCGCGCTCCGGCGGTGCCGGTCGGTGCACCGGCACTGTTACCTCCTCCGTCGCTCCCCGGGCGCCGTGGACTACAGCGGCGAGAAGCACTTCATGACCAAGGACTACCTGGACATGATGTGGGGCAGGAACCGGTTCCAGCAGACCATCCTCGAGCTCGGCTTCAACTTCCTCTTCACGGTACGTGCGCGCGCCACCGCCGGTGCATGTCTACGGACCGCCGGTGCAATCTATACTTACCATTTAGGTGTTTGGTGTTTCATTCGTTCAGGACATCGACATCATGTGGTTCCGGAACCCGCTGCGGCACATCGCCATCACGTCGGACGTGGCCATCGCGAGCGACTTCTTCAACGGGGACCCGGAGAGCATGGGGAACCGGCCCAACGGCGGGTTCCTGTACGTGAGGTCGGCGAACCGGACGCTGGAGTTCTACCGGCGGTGGCGGCGCGCGCGGCGCAGGTTCCCGGCGGGGACCAACGAGCAGGAGATCCTGGGGCGGGCGCAGAGGGAGCTGAGCCGGCGCTCCGGCGTGCGGATGCAGTTCCTGGACACGGCGCACTGCGGCGGCTTCTGCCAGCTGAGCGGCGACATGGGCAGGGTGTGCACGCTGCACGCCAACTGCTGCACCGGCCTCGCCAACAAGGTGCACGACCTCAGGAACGTGCTCAGGGACTGGAGGAACTACACGGCGGCGCCGCCCGAGGACCGGCGCGTGGGAGGCTTCCAGTGGACCAGGCCCGGCAGGTGCATCCGCTGACGGAGCTGGCGCCGCATCAGCGGCTGCTGGAATGATCCATCGAATTACACGTCGTGTCCTTGTCCTTGTTTCTACGTGGCAGTGGCTGCCTGGCTGGTTTTTACCCGAGTTGAGATTGATGTTATAGGAGTTCGCTGCATGTTTGGTGTATTTTACAACGTCGGATTTACATACTACGTAGTACGTGTTTACTGATAGGCGAATGTAAGAAAAATGTATGTACTGTGCTTGATTAAATCATGCTAGTAGAGTGGATTGCGGTGGATTTTTATGTTAAGGCACCTCCGGCTCTAAATCGAACACGGTCTTTATCTACGGGATCTTTTGCCCTGTAAGACTGATATCAAAGCCTCCACGCTCATTCTGTCTTCGCCTCCTTCTCGTCCGCTTCACAGTCTCCAGCTGATTCTTCAAGTGCTTCAACATTTTAAAACAGGTGGCTTGCACGATCATCCTTGCATCATCATCCAACTCCTTCATCTTCGAATCCTTGGAAGAGGTTGTGATCTTAACCTTCTTCTCTTTGAGCTTGGCCTTCTTCTCTTAAATCTTGAGCTTCTTCTCCATCGTAGACACGGCCTCTTGGACGATGTACCGTCGATGATTGAGAGACTTAATTTACCCCACGGTTACGGATGAGTTTGTCAGCGTAGGTCTCTAAATGCTTGTACTTATGGAACCAAATATGAATGTTGGCCCAAAATGCTACGCCATTTTACTTCGTGCCATAGATCTGCTCGATGCTAGTGACCAACCATGTATCACACAGCAACTTGTCCTTCTTCATGTTGAAGTTTTCTTCTCTACTCTTATTTGAATCAGCAAGAAATTCATCGGGATTAAGGTCGTCGTCGTCGTGCTCCTCGTGCTCCTGTTGGCCAGTATACGAATTCAGCTCTAGGGTGTACGTGCCCCTACGTGTCGGACTGGGTGTACGTGCTTGGCTGCCTGGACTCTGAGTCATCCACATACCCGTCCTTGTAGCAGTCTGCGCCTCTGTCATGGATCAGCTCAAACATCTGCATGCTCGTAGTACGTCGACTCGCCTGGTTGAGACATACCGGTGAACAGATGAGGGCACCGAGCTGCTCCACACCAGACGTCCGCGTCCGGACATGTTGCGGCTATGCAGACTCGGAGAAAATGAGCAGCACCATGTTGACTTCGACGCAGTAAGGCACGTACCCAGGAACGACTGTTGGGGACTGCCTACCGAGTTATTGGGCAGCGTACAAGTATGGAGCCTTGAATTGTACCATCCAAGATGGCGTCTGCATGGACGGTGATTGCGATGGCACCAAGCGTCCCAAGCCTTGCCCTGCATCCTACCCGCCCCTGCACGTCCGCCGCCACGACTACCACCACTCCGACCGACCTTCTACTACTTGAGTGGCGCGGTCTTTGCCTTCGCTTTGAGGGGCGGTTTTGTCGTGTCGCCCAATTGATCTTTCGGGCAGCCACGATCGCTGGATCTTCCACCACCGCCTTCTTCGGTAGCTTTTTGTACGAGTCCATGTGGCGGGCGATGACAAAAATGGACGGGAACTAGCTGGAGAGTGGCAGGAATTTTTTTGAAAAGGAGGTTAAAACCCCCGGTCTCTGCATCAATCGATGCATGCGGCCATCTTTATTTATTATTCGGAGAGCGACAAGATGGTAAAGGAGAAAAAGAAAGGAGGATTTTGCCAGAAACAATGCAGTCATCCCCGAATGTGCGGGTTCTACCTCATTTTTGTGTGGCAGAGGTGTCACAATCCTACGTGGTTGCCATTTGGACAACATCATTGGATGGCTCGTGGATCCGGACCGCTTGAACAGGTATGGAAGGTTTAAGGGTTCGTGTTGGATATGCCCTTAAGCGGACATGGAGTTTCTTAGCCCAAGATCATATGAGCTTGGGTTTTCCGTAAAATGAAAAAAAATCAAAAAAATATTTGTGACAAAACAAATCTTGTCAGTGATTGCAAATTTTCATCGTGAAATAATATTTCTAGAAGCCATGGCAAAATAAACAAAATCATGCTCCAAAAAAGTTATTTTCAAAGGCATCTTGGAGTGATGTTTTTTTTTTTTGCCACCACTGCCAAGAATGTCATTTCACGCTGAAATTTTGCAAACATCGAAAACTGTTGTTGTAAAAAAAACAGGATTTTTTTTTTGAATATTTTCGATTTTACTGTTCATCCCGAACTTGTCTCCGCCATTTTGCTGACAATTTGTTAGTACAACTTTGGACGCCCACTACAAACTTAGATGATTTGATTTGACCGTATACAGCCACGGAATATAGGCGCTTTAACGGTTTGACCGTGCCTGGATGGTTGCCTTCCCCGCCACACAGTACACAGAACACCGGTGAAGGTCCGTGCGCACCACGGCTGCCAGTAGACTGGCTGCAATATCGGTAAAAGTAGCGATTCGCAGTAATTAAAGAAAATGTAAGGCACATAACAACTTTAATGAGCTTCTGGTCAGTGGCAGGAACAGAAAACCATTCAACCAAAAATTGCAAAGCAGTAAGCCAGCGAGGAATTTTATGACCAATAGAAAGTACTACCGCTGTTCCTAAATATAAGATGTTTTAGCAGTTGAAATCGAACTGCCAAAACATCTTATATTTAAGAACAGACGGCGTATATATCAAAACAACTAAAAAGTGGATAATTAAGAGCAACTAAAAAGTGGATATAATACTCAAAGTGAACATCCCGAAAGGACCAGCATCTCTGAGAAATAAGTTCTGATGGGCTAATGCTCAAATATCTGAAACTGTTTTAGCATATAAAGACCACTCGCGATCACAAGGATAGCATCAACCTTAACAAATCCTTACTCCATGTTGGTAACAAAAACATCAAGGAGGCAACAAACACTGCCAACAAAGATACTTGAGAAGAACTACAACTAAGATTCTTGGACGAATGCAGCCACTCCGTTAGCTTAGATAGCTTTCCTTGGTGCGACGACGTTGTCAGCCTACCAAAGGAGACAATATATGCTTTAGGAGACACAGCTAACCAAAACAGCACATAAGAACAGACAGCATGGCAATGTGACTGATGTAGGACTGATTAGAAGGTGAATCTTAAGAATCTTGAAGTTAGAAATATTGGACAAATTTACAAGTTCCAGATAGGCAGTAACTAAAACAAATGCATAAAACGAGCATACCTCCTTCTTCACAGGCTCTTCCTTCTCTGACAAGATCAGCTCAATGTGGCAGGGGTTGGACATGTAAGCTGCCATAGAGAAATATTAGCACCATGTCCAATGAAAGCAAATAGACATTTCAATATAACACCCTTTAGAACTTACGATTGATGCGTCCATGAGCACGGTATGTACGGCGCCTCTGCTTTTGGGCTTGGTTCACCTGGATGTGTGAAATGTAGAGGTTGTCGACGTCCAAGCCTTTAACCTATGTACGCAACACATAATAAGTTAACCAAAACAAATGCTCAGAATATGATGCATATCAAAAATAGAATGAGGATAAAATAGCAGCAGCAGTAGCATACCTCAGCGTTACTCTCAGCATTCTTCAGCAAATCCAACACGAACTGGGCCGACTTTGCAGGCCAGCGACCCTGCCCATTTGGCTGGTGGTTCTTTACTTGCGCGGTACGACCCACACCTCTGCAGTATCTCCGGAAGGGAATCGCTTGCTTGTGAGCGAGAACATCCTCAAGGTACCTCTTAGCCTTGCCCAAAGGCATCCTGCGAAGAGCAAACGCTGTCTCGCGTGTGTTCTGCATCCAGTATTAGCAAGTTAGCGAAACAAACAAGATATAACCATTTGACAATGATGGGACTACAAAATTATCAATCTAGCACAAAAACGAGGAACAACTGTGCTGGCACCAGGGTCCTATGATAAAATAACTGAACTTAGTTTTACAGATGCAAAATCTGGCAGAAAAAGATTGCAGGCCAACAGACCATTCCCTTCCCTTACACATTATTAGCCTTAAGAAGCAACGGTACTACATTGGGATATTTTTCACCAAGTTCAGAGAGTGAGCAATGCTTGGTATGCATACGTCAACAGAAAAGAAAAAATAGAGCAGGCTGACAAAAAGTTGGCGTCTTCATAACTAATGATATTCAAATTATGCAATATAAAGATAAGAAACAAGACGATGGAAAGCTATCAAACAACATAAACGAAACTATAATGATATATCAGACCAAGAATCATCTAAACAATTAATCCCGACTTGGATACATCGGAGCCAGGATCTTCTAAACAATTAATCCTGACTTCTAGAGGGGGGGCAAAGATCACTGAGACTTAGGAGTTTGAGCAGAGAAACCTGCAGCAACATCACAAAGTGATAACTATGACGCAAGCAATGAACACAACAATATTCAATGTTCCTATTAAACTGTAATGATATTTGCCAAAATTTAATGTGCAAAACACGGACTTCAAAATTGCAGACATTAGGTACAGAAATGAGAAGGATAAAGTAGCAGCAGCGTACTTAAGCGTGACTCTCAGCGTTCTTTAGCAAATACAACGCGAACTGGGCAGATTTTGGATTAAATGCGGACATTAGCTATGTACTTCCTCAAAACAAGACATGGTTAAAGATGATGTCACGTTCAGATTGCCTAAGAACCATTGGCGACTGTGACTAACGCCGGTAAAGAATGCATTGATATCCCTAAAGTAACCTGGTAACTGTGCATGCAAAGAACAGATCAGAACCATTACTCTTTAGGTTTGTCACAGTTCAATCATTCATGAGGCCATTTGTACACTCCCTAACCCTAAATCAACAAGATCGCATGAAAATTGACAAGAACGCTAGTCTGGGATCAATCAACCAGTAGCGCAACTCCACAGACAAAAAATCTCGCGTAGAGCAGGTTCACGGAACGCACCTTGAAGTGGACCCTGAGATCCTTGCCACAGGCCTTGGCCGCTGCGCACGAAAGCACGAAACATCGGATCAGAACCCACCACAAGCAGAAGGCAAAGCGCAAAGCAAGAAAAAATTCATTGAGGGGACAGAGGGAAGATAGATCTTACACTTGGTCGGGTTGGACGGATCCCTCGAGTACTTCACCTGCGACGAATGCAACAGCGAGGATGTCAGAGCGACGGCACGTACAGCAGGCAGAAGATTGTGCCTGAGAAGAGAGGGACGAGGCTTACCATGGCGGCGGCGGCGGGGGTTGCGGCCGGAGAGGAGGGATGGGAGGGTGAGTGCTGGCCTTGGCACGAACTCTTCCAACAGGGGGAAAACTGAGGAGGCGGTGGAGGTCTATGAGGAGGCGAGAAAACCCTAGAGCTTCACAGCTCTTCATGGGCTTACGGCCCAATGTCTCGTCTATGGGACAGGCCCGGCCTTTCTCTCTCTTGTTTATATATATATATATATAGATAAAGTCATCATGATGGCTTTCCCCAAAAGACAAAAAACAAAAGATTTGTTTTTGAGCGGTGCAAGAAAACAAAAGATGAAACGCAGAACTACATGCTATAACTAAGCCCGAGCGCATTATAACTTATTCTGCGCTCCGGCCATTCAAACCACGCTCGAACTCGCTAATTACAGAAGTGACCACGTCCCAACCAAAGTTCCACCTGATGGTAAAAGACTCTAATACATTACCATGTGTGACAATGACTTTTACTATCCAGACCCACAAGTCCCTTCAACTAGTAAAATTGACTAGTAAATTACTATATATCACACTGTTGTTACTATCGCTCTAGCATGTGGTAAAATTGATCAACAATTACATATTTTGAACAATTAGATCTTGGTTATAATTTTCTCACCGTGCGTACATGTAACATTATGATTACTTTGAAATCAATTTTACTAGAGAGGTCACGTATTTACTACATGCTATCTGAGATTTTATTAACAATTTCCATGCATCTATAGTAAACATATTACTATTTTTGTGGGTATAGTAAAGAGATTACTAATTGTACTACATGTTATTCTTCTGATTATTTTGCCAGGAATGTGTAGTAAGGTGGTTAACATGCTTTACTAACACTAGTAGAAAACAGGGCTATGGTCACGGGGCAATATTCACATTAGTCCCGGTTCAGTCATGAACCGGGACTAATGTGAGCATTGGTCCCAGTTTGGGCGGCTAAGGCATTAGTCGCGGTTCACTCGGGCCCTTTAGTCCCGGTTTAAGACATGAACCGGGATTAAAGGGTGCGATGACCTTTAGTCCCGGTTCGTGCCTCAAACCGGGACTAAAGATTAGACCTTTAGTCCCGGTTTGAGGC